TCTCTCTCTCTCTCTCTCTCTCTCTCTCTCTCTCTCTCTCTCTCTCTCTCTTTTTCTCGTCCTCTCTTCCACATAGTCTGAGACATTATCACGGAGAAGTAAATTGCTAATTCCCGAGTCGTGCAGACTAATAGCGGGAAATCAGCGCGTCGACATCGATAATAATAATTTTGCGAGGATTTAGTATAGACTTTAAAATTATTGTCGTGTTGCTAAATACTTGACTGTTTTTATTCGCCTCCGTCTGTTATACAGCTGTCCAATACTCGCGCGGTTTTTATACGAATATTGTGCTTACAGTACTTGCATGTTTTTATGGCGGAAATATCGACGATAGGAATTCCCTAAGTACCGGTAATACCGCTAAAATAGAAAGCGAGGAGAGCGTCTTAATGCACCCAAGAAGGAAGATTGCGTGGCTTTTGAAGTTAACAACGACGTCACTTTACCGAGTGCTTTCGTTCTCGTGATCAATAATTTCAATAAAAAATGTGGCCGTGTGAATGAGGAGCAAGCTAAATAAAAAAAACTGTACAAAGAAGCAGAAATAAATGATTCGATTAAGACCTTTGCAGATCAAGAACGCATTCTAATTGTTATATCTATATGTTTTTGAAAAACTGCTTCTTTACACAAAAAATCGATCTCAATATGTCATATATATATATACCTAGATAATTATCTTTTTTGGAAATAAATTTGTAAAATCGCTCGATTTTGCGATTGCATCTCGCAATAAAACGAGAAATGTATAGCAGACTTCCTTTCATAAAGCAAACGATGAGATAAAATTATATGAAATATAATTATATTACATGAAATATATTATCATTTATATATTTCATATAAATGATAAAATTCATTTATATCATGGGGAAAAACCCCATAATATAAATGATATTTTGTAATACAATAAATTTGATTCCAATGCAAATTATCGGCGTTGTGATCGAAAGCGTCGTATGATTCGATAGTCAAATGGAAAGCGCGTGAAGGTTGCGGGTGATAGAGAGGTAGGGATTTCATTTGTTTATATGAGTCTTATTTTGTAATAGCGACGCAGCCATGGGACCTTTTGCAATCGCACCACCTTTGCATGTTTTCATTGAAGTAACAGGTGCAATCGCATTTACTTTGACGTTCAAGGCTTCCGATCCGGTCGCGGATAATACCTAGCGCTACCTAATGAGTATATAAATCGAAGAATCGGCTTGCAAAATTAATTTCGTTACATTGGCGGAGGACACTCAAAAAAGTATGATCCTTTCAATGAAAATAAGTTTTACATAAACAATGAGATAATCACTGGTGCGTTACATATTTACATCCAACAATATCTAATTTCAAAATAACTCTTACTACTCTACGCGCAAACTGTAATATCAATAAAATTTATTACAAATAAATGATATATCGTATTGATACTTCAAAATAGCTTCTGATTGTTTTTTTTTTTTTTACTTTGTCGCATATTTCACGATGCAAATGCGCTCTTGGTATTTAGTAAGTGCGTCTTTACGGAGTCGCGCTTACTGTAATGTATTTTGTTTATCAGATCAGCGCATTATATAGGTAAAAACAACAATTAATATTAATTTTCGTTGCACTATTAGTTAAGTGGTCAAATAGTTAATGAGTATAATGTGTATCGATTCTTAATGCAATAAATTTTTAGCATGCGAGTAGTTTAATTTGTTTGTTTAACTGACACGGTTTGCTTGATATTTATTTTATATTGATATACGATGCGTATGTGATCTTGCCGTTCGAAATTTTACGAGTTTCTCTCGCTTCCGAATTTTTGGATGTTGCATTCGTTACCCAGAAAATCAAAACTATTTTAAAATACGTGAAATAAAAACTCACTTGCAATAAATTTATCATTAAGTTTTTTTCTAGTTTGCATTTTAACGAAATATGTAGATTAAAGTTACACATCGCGAAGATACATCTTAATTTTCTATCGAAAAACTTATAATTAATTAAATATAAATAAATTAAACGTTTACAAACGCGTATTAATTTTTAATATTGTTTTAAATGCAAATACGTTAGTATTGCAAATAACATGTTTGTTCGCAAGATACAATGCATAATGGATGATAATAGATGTGTGCAAGTGGAATAAATTGAATATTGTTGTGAAAATATATATATATACTTTATATACATTCGTAGTTTTAACTTTTATGAAAATTGATTTTTTTTTTTCAAATGGCACTTACATCTTATATTGATTAACATGTCTGAAATAGGTTTAAAAACACCAATCTACACGCGTTAATGGTTTTAAGTAAACGGCGCAAAGTTTACCTGATTGAAGTCGACTTATATTTCTTTCCCCAGTTTTACATTGCAATCATGTTTAAATTACGCACTCTTAACGTCACAACTAATAACATTGGGTACAAAAATTGTGGCCACATGGAATCCGTGGTAAGTCATGATGTAAGAAAAAGCTTACATTTAATATAGACTGAAAAAATTTTTCTCGGAATATGTGCCAAGATGATTTGTAGATTTTTCAATAAATTTACGATTTTGAAGGCAATCTTTGATACTCTGATGTGTGTTTCATTTGTGAGGCACAATTTTCAACAACATCTTAGATTTTTTGTTGTTGTGTTTGCTACAACTTCAGTACCTCAGTTAGTCAATTAACTTAACGGCGCGTATGTACTATTGTTAACTTTATGAAAATTAATATTTTGCAAAAATGGAGGGACAAGTTTTTCAGCGACCATCATTTTTTACGGTTTACATGGCACATGATCGACCTCCAGGGAAAAGATGTATGAATGCAAGAACTAACTTTTTCATTTATTACGAAAGCTGTGTTATATAACACGACGCAGGTACAAAGTTATTAAGAGTGAAACACAAATTCGAAAGGAACAAAATAAATTTTATGATATATTCTATATTTTTACCGACTTGGTATACTTTTAAACGCCAGCAATCACACAAACGCTCTGCATTCTTATACATAGTTATTACTAGAAAGTATACGAAGAAAAAATATGTCTTGTGTGAAAAACAACTCAGATTTATCAATATTAAAAAGTCCATCAAAAGTTAAAACTACGGTGGATTTGCCCATATATGTATATTACTTGTACATTGTATAAGATCGGTAGTTTTCAAACATTGAAATGTTGTCTATATATGGTAAATTGATCCGTATTAGCGAAATTTCGTCCAAAAGCATTTACGAGTGCGTCCGCTACAAGTGGCGTTTCACGTTTAAATAGCGGCTGAATGACGAATGCTCGTATGCAGGAAATTTCCAACGAGTGGACAACATGGAGCAGTCTTTCTCTCGTCAGAGATGAGAGAAATGCCTAAGGGGAACGAAGACGCGGAAAGAGAGATGGGAGAGAACGAGAGGAGGATATGAATGATGAGTCCGATTTTTAATGAAAGCCGCGTCGCGCCGAGAAAGAAGAAGAGTGCGTGTGGTGGCCGCGTTTGTTTCTGAAGGACTCTTCAGGCCGCAGAATCATCCAGTTACACTCTTAGGGATGAGGGAGAAAAATCCTAATAATCGCTAGTCGAAAAATATCACCGGTAAATTCCCTCGACCGTTTAATTGCGCGCCGAAGCACAAAGTATATTGGTTTCCACGATCGCATTTTCCTACTTTTCTTTCTATATCAACCATCCCTATCAGCCTTTTTTCTTTTGTGGCAATTTTTGTTGAAATCTATGGTATACAGAGATATATCTCGTCTAGAATGTAATAATCTTTAATAATCTTTATTAATCTCTTCGAGATTTATTAAACTTCCGGCAGTTATTGTGCATAACTTTTGTTCTTAGCATTTGCAAAAACTTGTTTTTTTCTACAACACTTGTTGTTTATTTTCGGTAAAGCTGATTCATACATACATATCTGTCATATCTTCCAATGTGTTATACATGTATATGATATGTTTGAAGATAAGCAAGCACATAT